AGAAGGATAATGTCTCATCAGAAAAAGACAGACGAAAACTATCGTCTACATAGCCAACTTCATTCTTATATTGATACAAGCGTTATAGCTCAATATCTTCGTATTTCCAGAACCGTTGCTTGTGCATATTTTCTATTGATTTTTGAAAACGGTACGCGCCGTCTCCCTCTTTCATTCCATCAGTAAGACTCACTTCATGCTCTAGAATGCCGACAGTTTTGATCTTTGCTCCATTTACGATCAGCTCTGTTACTGCCGTCTTTTTAGACTTTTGTTTTTTATATGTACCATTCCTTGTAAAATACTCACGGAGACAAGCTCTATTATAATTTTTCTAATCTTATTAAGGTTTGTAAAATCAACACAGATCCAAATATTAGATTACGCTTAGAGTATACTTGGAAACTATTGCTTCGATTACAGCTAAAAGTGCAACTCGTTTCGAAATTCGACACTACATATTTTTAATAATACTGTTTAATAGCAACGTCTTTTATTCTTAGTTAAATGTCATTTACAAACTATTCCGCATGAATAATTCCGTAATTTGTATAAATGAATCGACTATTGGACTTACTCATATGATCTAATAGTTAGATCAATTAAAAAGATGTTTTTCAAAGAAAGTATTTCGCATAGATTATAATGTCATGTTATCATATTCTCGTCTTGATTCTTTTCATTGCTAAGAAGCAAGCTTGAAAGCTAATCTAAAAGGATTCATGTAACTAGTACAGATATTAGTTTATAGCGCGTCCCATACATTGCACACCATTTGCGATGCCTACGCTTTATTCGAATAATAAGGTCTAAATGCGGAGCGAACTTCCAAAATCTAACGATTTTTTCAATTAAGTTTAGCAGGAAGTTATCATAGCACTACTTTTCAAAATAGATATATTTTAGCATTCTAACAGTGTCGAACAATTGTATATAATATTTTCAGTTTCATCATACTTACTGTGATGTAGAAAAAAACAGAATCTTGCATCTTTATTTCCAATGATATTGATAAAAAACTGGTCTCGTACAGTGACTTTAAGAGCTCATGAGTGATACATCAAATATTTTTGAATAGGAAAATCACGATAGGAAAAAATCCTGGCACGATTTTTCTACTAGGAATTGTAAAAATTGGATTAAATCAGTTTAATCACTTGCAATGAAGACCTCTCAATTCTATGGCACTTGACAGTGAACATCTCAGAGCTATGTTAGTAATGAAAAACGGGAAGTTAAAAACTGCAATCTACTAATAGATCATGCATGATATAGTCTAGTACAGAATATTTTGAAAACAGAAATCCTTTTAACCATTGCCATTAGCTACAAAAAAATGATATTGTTCAAAATTTTACAATTTTCCATACGTCTCGAAAGTTTCGTGTTATATTGGATATCAATCGAATAGTTGTCTGTTTGTGTGATTGAAAAAAAAAATTAAATGACTAGGTTCTTCGATATATCATGACATATATTTACAGTCACAGTGACTTTTTTCTTAAACTTTGGTTAATATCATGCTCGCATATTTAATATTGTTATATGACAGTGCCTAGCAACAATACTATGTCAAAATTGTTTTTATTAGATTGAAAAAACTTGTATGTAATATATTATTCAAATAGTCTATCACGTATTTCGATATAGCCGTGCGCAATGAATCAATTTTAAGATCTATATGAGACATCTTGAGTTTTCTTATATTCATTAATTCAAATATCACTACTAAACAGACCTATCATCTTATCATATTGGAGATGTGGTTCTGTATGTTACACTCAGATGTCTATGCTATTTCGAAGTGATTTCCCAAACAACCGTTTTGAAATAAATGAAGAAAATACAGTGAAGGTCTTTTTTGTTTATAAACGATTATAATAAATATGAAATTTCTAAAATCATAACTGCAGTATCTGATAGTGTTATACAAACAAGCCATAGATTTCTATTGGTTAGACTACTTTCTAATGATGCATAAACAGTTTTTTATGATAGAACATATATCAGAGCTAACAAAAAAATGATGCCGAGTATTTTGTAGTTGAATTCCAGAATAGAATATATTCATGCTCTTTCAAAAACTATTGCCAAGATTGTATCATGCTGTAATAGAAGTTAAGGCCTGCATTGCATAGACACGTTTTTTTATTTAAAAAATATTATATATTTTATCAGATGTTCATTTAAATGCTGTATAAATGCATCTAAATGATAGCCAAAGGTGAAAATTTAATCTTTTGGAAAATATGATGTGTTTTCATAACATAATAAACATATAAAGTGATAAAACTTGGAAGGCCCTGCATCTTGTACAGCGTATTTATTTTGAAGAATAAACGCGGTTTATAGCAGCACAAGCATGCATGTGTTTTCTCTCTTCATCCTAAGAAAGAAATTTACAAACAGAACAAGTCAGTCTTGAAATTAAAGCATCAAAATCAAGGGGGGAACAGCAGTATCCATGAATCCACTTGAATCCACTTGAATCCAAGGAACTGGATTCTGCTGTTTCCCCCTTGACTAGCATGGCAACCGGAAAATGCTCACTCTGTCACAAATCTTTACGCTACTTGCATTGTTCCACTGTTCTTCAGAACTTATATACCATGCTAAAAAAACAAGATATGATAATCTATCGAAAGTCGCAATTTGTTTATCATCCTACACAGGTCTACAATGCATAGCAGAATCATTTTTTCATCTCGACGGGCGCGCTCTTTCGGGCAGATTTCATTAGGCTCGAGGTGGAGTTTCGTGTTGAAGGAGATACACAAGAGGAAACAATGTGCCACAGAATCAGCTTCCGTTAGGGTAGGTGCCAGTGAATGGGTATTAGTGTAATTGTCCTCTTTGAAATTCATCCTACCATAAATCTGTCAAGTGGATACACGGTTTCTTTAGAACACAGGAAGTGACTCAGCTTTTTGACACGTCTCTTAAATCATACGCAAATCGCAACTCTTTTGAATATCTGAGTAGCTTCTCGACTTCGCGCCCATCCTCTTTTGTCGCCATCACCACCAAAATAATTAACCTAAACACAGAATGATTATCCCATCGGTTTTCGGTCTTTGCTTGCAAGCGATTAGTGCGAATGTAGCCGTGAGGCTTTCATAGCTCTTCTAGTTTTCAGAATTGAAGGTGAAGAGGGAAATAGGCTCTGATAGGACACTATGAGTTCGATGATCATGTGTTTACATAGCGTGGCGTCTCATCAGAATTTTGAATGCTCATAAACGGCCTTCGTAGGCCCTTTGTCAGCAACTTTAACATCAAAAAGCACTCTCACAAGAGATAAAGTTAAGAACTCACGGAGACATGTTACAATTACAGATTGGACAGGCAAGCTTGAATGGTCGTCTTTCTCCTGTCTTTGAATAATATGGTTCGAGACAAAATTTGTTATTTACGAAAGTCTTCTATTTTCTTTGACATAACTCTATGTACATTGTTTAAAATGGAGGTGGCCTCACAAGTCAGATGAAGGGAAATGAAAGAATGATGCTAATTCTAAGCGTTAATTACACGAAATTGTTTTAGGAAGCTTTGACATAGACGTAACGGTCACCTCCTATTGGAAAAATAGAAGTTGGCCAGTGAAAGTGAGTGGATCCACGTTTCACAAGAAGTAATTCAGGATCAGTTCGCATACTTCCGAACGCGTTGGTGACCAATTGTGTAAGAATAACTATTCAGGTAAAAGCTCATTTCTTCCAGATACGAATCATTTCGTGCCACATCTGAAATCCATACTGAGTAATCCAATAAGAGGAAGAATGTTTGAAGAAGTACTGCGTCGCGCATTATTAACAATGAGATGATGACTACTTCTCTTGAAATAGGAATACTTTTAAGGCGAATGATATCTCGTTGTCGGTCACATATGATAAGATTGAGCTGGCAATTCTCAGTGTAGTCCAAGGATAAACGGAGGCAAATTTCCAAAACAGATCGCTCTCAATCATATCGTTGAGGGCCACTTCAGTTTTTCTTGATGGCTTTCGTTGACATTACTCCAAAAACAGCAGGATATGTGTAGGAGGGCTTCCAGGTAATAACGCATAATGTAAGTTCTGCTTCATCTTCGCATATATGACCTATGAACTATGTTCTCTGATAGCATCTGAAGATATTATCAATGGGGGGTACTTTTCATGAAATTCTGGCACATAGGATACTGGCGCACGAGTTTCGAGTGATAGAAATTAGGAAAGATGACCACCCAGTCTTTGAAATTCATCTCTCGAAATCTTTCATTATATCATATGTATTCGAGCATATCTTTGAATAAAGTTATTAGAAACAAAAAGTGTTCGACGACTCATTCAAGAGAAAATTCATATGTTTGTCCTACGAATTTTAGACGCTCCTTCCTATATCACTCATGTTTTATTCTTCTTTTCACTGAATTCTGTTGCTTATCGAAGGGTGTTCCCTTGAAAATATCCTACTTTGTTGGACAAAAAACGCTTCAACATATTCGATTACGCAACTAATTTGTCGAGCATTGACTACCAAAAAGATCTAGTCAGTACACATCGTAACCAAAAAAGAAAGTATCATGGAAGAAAACAATAGTTTCTACAAAATATTTCTTATTTTCAATTTTCTTGATCTACTTAATTTCGTTGCAATCGATTACAACACTTGACTTGTCGTCTGCGGAAACGTAACTGATCTATATCAATCAGGTAATTACATGCGTGTCTCTTCTTTTGTTTGGAAACGTCTTGACATCCCAATTATATTCTAGTCAAATATATGGAAACGCGAAAGCATAATGGCAATGATGATAAGAAGACAGTTTCAAACGATAGTTCAATAGAAAGCCAAATGTTCGATGAAGACAATTCGTTTGCGACACAGTTGACTCAAGAAGAACGAAAAGTAATAGAGATTTGTCGTTTGTATGATGCATTGTAAATTCTTTGAAATGTCTTTAGAAACCAACTGGTAGAAAGCATAAGAGCTACATGAAAATAAATAAGATAGAAAGGATGCCAATCATATTTGAAGATGAGGATGATGACAATGAAGAATCGATTTCCATTAATACCGATAATGATAGCAAATGGAATTTGTATGATGATAATAACGATGAAGCTGAAGATAATAGATTAACTCATCATCATCGAGAGCACGAAGAATTAAAAGATCTCGACTGGAATGATATACTTAATTATATCCAACAACTTAATTATAATCACTTGAAAGTACAGGAACGTCATGAGACTCATGCTGAAAATCTTACCATCCTATCAATCCGACGGAAGTCTATTGGTAGAAAAGTCATTATTCGATTACCATACAAGGGTACTTCATTTTACTTTGCTTATGAACAGCATTTTCATCAGAAATCAATCGATTATATGAAGCGAACAGGTGCCTACAAATGGATACAAGAGTTAGACCGTACCAATGAAAATATCAGTCAAACATATTTAGCTCAAATGGTGAACGGCGTCGAAACAATGTTGGATCATTTACTTGATTCGGATTGTATCTCGGAAGCACAATATCTGTTAATGAACATTGTGCACATGTCAATTCGAATGCATTATCTGTATTTTATACCAGAAACTGAAAAGGTGGATAGGCTTTTCTATTTTTCTTAATGTTTCGATTCGTATCTATCATGAAATATTTCTAGGAAACTAGTCCACTGCCACCTATATTCGTTTGTAATGAAGGTCCAACCATGAACATAGTTCGTTATATAACTCCTCTTCTATGGTCCATCTTTGATCGAGCCACGAATTGTACTCGCTTTTCCAATGGTGCTATTGATGTGATCCATGCTATAGAACAGTATGTTCATATGGATCACTGTCAATCACAAGTTGTTTTCGTTTCATTCGATATCCACGAATAAACTACTGTATTTCTTCATGATGAAACAATGGTCATATTAAACTATTTTCTTCGAGAACATTTACCAGATCAAAAAATGAAGGATCTTACTATTGATACGATTCTGAAACTAGTGGATTTGGTTTTAAAAACTCAATTCTGTGTTTATAATTACACATTATATCAGCAAGTGTGTGGTGGTGCTTCTGGTTTACCTTTAACTAGATTCTTGGCTTATCTTCATTTCTCTTTTGGACAACATAGTGAATTTGTGAAACTGTTTCGTAAAAATAATGAATTTTTTGGCAGGTAAATTTTGAAAAAACTTTGTTTTTATTCGTTTTTTTTTCATCCCCACTCATGTCTTCTATATACATACGTTTCCAAATAGATATCGAGAACAAGCAATCTTAACATGGCATAGATCTAAATATGAATTTCTTACTTTGTTGAGCAAAGCTCCTGCGTGTCAAGAATATGTCTCAAATGCAGTGACCGTAGTGGTTGGGTCCACCGTCTATTTTCAAGATGTACAATTGAGTTATACCAATCAAGGTAGTCTCGATAGTAAAGTCTAACACGATCCGCATATTGATACTTTACCGAATGTAACCGATGAAATGATGGAAAATACTTCGAATGAATTATACGCTGTTCTATATCGGGCTGTTCGTTGTTGTTCAAATGTCACGAAATTTCATAGTGAACTACTCTTTATTCAAGTATCATTTTCACTATTCGGTTCTACTATCGATTTTATTCACTCTGGAATACAACGTTTTACCGAGAATTTGGTTTACCTGAAGCATCGATAGCAACCGTTTTAGATGATACTCAGTATAAATATTTACGTCAGCGTATCATCGACGATGTAGAAGAACAAATACAATTGAAGCAACAACGTGAAAAAGAAACAGAACATACCATATTCCTGCCATGCCCACGTTTCATTGATGAAGAAACTATGGATGCTTTCAAGCAGTCTTTTGAAGATAGATGGAATAATTATTATATTAATGAATCACAAAAACAAGTTTATCAGATCCAATGGATACGACCCATATCCATGGCTTTCACCAATAGTGATATTCTCCTTAATAAACGCCCACCTCTTCATTTATTAACTTTATCGAAAGATTATGAAGAAACGAAAAGTGTGTATATCTCGATATATACTTTTCTCTATTTTTTTCGCTGTAATCATAACTCATGCTTATTTTATTTTTCTATAGAATAGCATCCTACGAATCATTTCCAACAAACGGCATGGACCAAAATGTTAGCGATTCATCAACATTGCTTGTTTTCTTTGATTTACTTGTAGAACACGTTTGTTTGTAATTATGTCGTAGTAGTTAGTTGTAGTTGTAGCCCTAAACATATACTTTGATTAATGCAAATCTTTCTTCTTTTTGTAACTCTTATCATTGTAGCCTACAGTGATTAGGTTTACTATATTTTAGATATATTTCTGTTCATGAACATCGGTTTAATATGTCAAAGTTGCCGGATAAACAGCAATTACACGAAGACCAAGAATATTGGTGGCGCGAATTCTCACCCAGGCAAGGAGATATACCCGTCATCGTCGGATCTTTGCCTGCAAAGCAACAAGAGCAAGAAGAACGAGCGATGACTCAACAAAAGAAGAAAAAAAGTCATGGCAATCGTGCTGAACAAAATTTCAAAAGAAGATTACGTCATCAAAATTTAGATGAGGAGATCCGAGCATCCTTAATACAAACAAGAATTGAAAGACAACGAGATAAACAAGAGCAGCCCATTTTGTGTCCTACAGCAACAGAAATGAACAAAATGAATAATCCAAACGGACAAGTAGCCGAGGTTACAGAAATCATGGTAAAAATTAGTAATTTGATACAAATAATTGCAGACTTACTAATCATTTCATTCTTTTATCATTAGGAGATTCCAATCGATGATAACCTTCGTGAATCTAATTCAAAGAAACGCAAACACAATGCATCGACTAAACTCGACACAAATCTGTGTAAATCCTTAAGTCGCTTGTCTATTTTAGAAGGATGTACAAAGAAAAAGAAGATAAAAAATGTTCACATTAAAAATGCTTCTTCAAGAATGACGCCTGAACTGAATGATCCAACAAAATTATACGTCACAATGCTCAAGTCTGCTTTTGTACCTCAATATTTGACAGTATGTGCACGGAAATTGAAAGAAATGTTATCAATAGCAGTTCCTGATGGTCATAAACTGTATCAATGGTTGGACAATGCCGAAAAGATAAAATCAACACGTAAATTAGCTCATACTGTTAATTTTATATATTATTTAAAATTACAACAACAATTATGGCAAGATTATTTCGATTTGGGCATGAGTACTGGTATGTGGGCTCCACGAGTATCGAAATCATTGGCGAAGGAGCATCATACCTGCATGTCCTATGGTCGTTCAGAGAAATTAGTCGGACAACGTCAAAGAACCATTCAAAATCAAATATATCGCACTAATCATGACCTACAAGAACAATTAATTCATCTACCCGAATGGACTGAAAATGTAATCCCAGCCATCGATTCAATATTTCTCTCGAAAGCTGTTGAGGCTATGGTTAAAAGTGGCCAACATCGTTTGGATATCCAATTCAAACATAAACAGGCTATGTTAAAATTAGATGCCGATGATCATCGTTTGATTTCAGCTGTGTATGCTTTGAAGCCAACTGAAGAACAGGTGCATCTTTTAAATACAATTATGAAATACAATAGTAGCCATAAACATTACTATTTGTTGTACGTTTTTAGATTGTATTAATCAAAATGTATTGGAAAGCCATAGCAAATGAACAAAAAGCAGTGGAAGAAATGGAAGTGCTTCGAAAACGAGTGTCATTAAAACGACTTCCACAATCATTTGACAAAGTTCTCGATCAATCGGTCTCTCATATTCAAACCATGTTGTCACGCTCTAGCCTACATAAAGATCGGAGTGCTAGTATGGCATCCCGTTGTTCGAAAACAATCACACAATATAAATTTGATTTAATGGCTATCACTTTAGGTATAGCTCAAGATACAGCTCGGGGTTATCATCAATTGGCTATTGATATAAAGGATAAATTACGAAAACTTAATAGCAATGAAATACAATGTTCCAATGAAGTAGTGATCACTGCGATAGAAATACGCGGCGAAAATATAAAGAAACGTGCTCAAGAATTACTTCAATATAAAATGATGTCTTTTTTCGAACAGGCTCCGGCGGTCGACAACAACAAAGGCAACGTATCCGCCGAAGCGATCTAAGTATTTATACGACTCTAACAGCTTCATCCCCTTTTGTTGAAACGAATTTGAATCTATCCGCCCCGCAAATGTCTATGTTTATCAAAGGTTTGAAATATATTCCACCATGTCAAAGTCGATTTTCAAAGCAATCTATTGAAGATATCGTCAATGAGCAATATAAGACATTACGTTCAGTTGCTCAAGGTTGTCTTGATGATTATCATGTACATCTGATAGAACCACGTCAGAAAGAGGGTTTTCCGTGTTTAAAACGTATGCTTTATGATCTTCAAACAAAAAAATTACCACATAAACTATATAAACGTGTACAACATGAACGAAAAATAGTGCGAAATATAATAAAAATGTTACGTCATCGACCTGATATTACTATACGTCGAACGGACAAAAGCAAAGTATTTTATATTGGGAATGTGAGTATGTTTGCTAAGAAAGCTTCAAAATATATGATCGAAACAGAAGCATATCAAGAGATTATGAATGAAGGATGTATCTTATCCGAAAATCTGCATTTAGTGGATGTTCTTTTAAAATCACTTTTGAAAAATGGTGCTTTTACTCAAGAACAATACAAAAGAATGGCTCCAAGAGTAGATTCATTAGAATTGGCTCATCTTCATTTCATTCCCAAAACACATAAAGTAAGTGAGTTTTTGATCACTACTATTTGAAATATATGTCTGTTTTCCTTCTCTTTTTAATTCATCTATATATATATTCATTTCTGAATTTCATAGTCCGATACACCCTTAAGACCCATTGTAGCTGCTATTCATGCACCAGCAACTGAAATCTCCAAATTTCTTAATGATCTATTAGCGCCTCTTTTTCTACGAGTTGCTCGGCAAACTACTTTTATTAATGGCATCGATCTTGTTCGAGCATTAGAAAAATATGTCACCAATGGTTATTTAAAATCAACCACTTTATTTATTACTTTTGATGTGGAAAATCTTTATACCATGATACCTCGTCAAGGTGCTTTAGAAATCTTATTACAATTTCTTGAGCAACATTTACATCATAACAAAATTGGTTCCATACGCATTGATGATATTATGAGAATGGCACGTCTTGTATTGGATACGAATAGCTTTGCTTATGAACATAAATATTATCGACAAATACGCGGTGGTGCGATGGGTTCAGCCTTTACACAAATACTAGCCAATATTTATATGTTAAATTGGGAACAACAATTCATTAAAGATCAACAAGAACATCAAGAAATTTATGGAAGGTTCGTGAAATATGTGCAATTCATTGAAAAACCTAGTAACTATATTTTCCATTGATTTCTTTAGATATATTGACGATGTTTTTATGACCACCAATTCAACATATGAGGAAATGAAAGCAAGATTGGACAATGCTCATCGAAAGGATCCTAATATTCGTATTTCATATTGCATTCAATCTACTATTGATTTTCTCGATGTCACTGTCAATAATGACAATGGTCACTTGAAAACATATATCTTCTATAAATCTGCCGCCGAACCTTATATACTGCCCTACACATCAGATCATCCTAAACATGTTTTTCGAAATATACCATACGCTGCACTACTCAGAGCTGCACGCATATGCTCGAATGTCGAAGAGTTTGAAACAGAACGAATTCGTACCGATTTATCATTGTTACTTAATGAGTATCCACCTTCATTTATCTCAAAACATTTTGATCGATTTTTTGAACTCAACCAGGCAAGAGCCATATTGAAAAGACTCGATGCCCAAGTATACCACGAATTGCACCAACGATTACTTCATATGCCAACGCGAAGAGAAAAACAAAACCAAGAGACAATAGAAAACGTCAATGCTTTACCCGACGTACTACGGAAGAAGAACACTTGGGATCCAAATATTTTATATGTAAAATACTATTATGAAAGTGGGCCCAGGTTATCTATTCAGCACGATTTTCGCCAATGGTGGAAACAGCATTTTGCTTATGAAGGATCTAATGTAGAACATGTTCAACTAAAATTTGCCGTCAAAACCAATTGCACATTAGAAGACATGTTTGTACACAAGAAGCCATCACAACAAATGCTCAAACGTAAACCTTCGAATATTATGCAAGAAATGGCTATGACATAGAACCGAACTATATAGAAAAATGATAACTATGAATGAGCAATACATCCATTTTACAAAATATGAATGGATCTAGATGGCCCTATCAAGCGATTTCGACCGACAATAAATGAAAATGAAATAAACATTCTCTTTTCATATTCCTTTCTTTTTCAAACCTCATTGTCGAAATAAAATAACTTATCACCTTCTATTGTAGATTATAATGAAATCCACCTATATCTAAAACAGTTAACCAGTAAAATGATTAATTAAAAATAAACAAACGAGACCAAACACAAATACTGCTACAATTAATCTTCAGACTTCACAAACCGAGGCAAATTTGAAACAAAAACAGAAACGCCAATTAAGTCATCGTACTACAAATCGATATATCGTTTCGACCAAAACATGCATATCAATTACAAAGTTCAAATGAACTATCAATTATGCGATGGGATCGATTGCTAAAACTATTTCATTCACACAAGCAAGACAAGAAGCACTGCAACAATAACATAGCATGCGATTCTCCAACACTGTACGCCGAAAGAAAGGTACCTAATTGTAGCATTTGCTGATCTTCTTGCATATTTTATACACTCACCTATCTATGTAAAGCCACATCGCATTGTATCGTAAAATGGATGAGATTTCTCTACAAGAATGGACTAACTTTTATACTTGAGTGGATATTGTTTCTGTAGTAGGATGGTCGTACTGCAAAGTTAGACGACCCGCGTTTTAAATCAGGACATAAGCCATTATTGTATTTGAATGGCTCGTGTTTTATTAGAGCATACACGCCATTCCTGAACGAAGAAGGGCAATTTTCTATAACAGGATGCCTCACCATTCATACCAGGACATATGCCATTTGTATATTATGACCGTTCAGTTTCTACAATAGGAAGGATCACTTTCTTCAGTAGAACGGCTCAATTTTGTAATTGAAACGGACCAGTGTCTCAAGGATGACAAACCACCTTCCACAAGAGGATGAATGTCCCTACTGTTGAAGGAGGGACCAGTTACTCAAACAGAAGGGGCCAGTGCTTTTAGTAGGACCGGCCATATCTTATAGAAAAGCGGAACAGTATCTATAGTAGGACAGACTACACCTTATAGAAGGATTTGCCAGGCACACATGTAGGACGCGCCAGTGTCTCTAGTAGCAAGGGCCACGTGTTAAAATGGAATGGACCAGATTACACTATTGTAGAATGGACCAGTAAAACGATTCTAGGAGAGGCGAATCACACTATTTTTCAACCGGCCAGTTAAACTATTGTAGGCTAAGGTCCATTACATTATTATATGACGGGCCGCTTACAGTATTGTCGGATAGGCCAGCCATTCCATGGAACGGACCAATTACCTTATTGTGTGATGGGTCAGTTGCATTATTACTGGATGGGCCAATTATACTAGTGGAGAACAAGCAAGTTACACTATGATAGGACGCGTCAGATACACAATTGTAGGACGACCCAGTTACTCTCGCTTCTAGGGCCACTTATACTACTTTAGGACAGGCCAGTTACACAATTGAAGGACGGGCCAGTTACACAATTGAAGGACGGGCCAGTTACAATATTCTAGGACGGGCCAGTTACAATATTCTAGGACCGGCCAGTAACCCAAATGTAGGGCGGGCCATTAACACAGTTTTAGGACGGGACAGTAACACAATTGTCGGACTGGCTAGTTACAATATTGTAGGATGGGCTAGTCACACAATTGTAGGATGGGCCGGTTACAAAATTGTAGGCTGGACCAGTTACTCTCGCGTGTCGAGCCATTTATACGACTGTAGGATGTGTCCATTACAAAATTGTAAGACGGACCAGTAACACAATTGTAGGACGGGTCAGTTACAATATTCTCAGACGGGCCAACAACACTATTGCAAGACGGGCCAGTTACACGATTGTAGGACGACCCAGTTACTCTTGGGTGTCGGCCCAATTACACCACTGTAGGACGGACCGGTTACGATACTGTAGGAAGCGCCAGTTACAATATTATAGGAGGGGCCAGTAATACAATTGTACGACGCGCCAGTTACAATATTCTAGGAGGGGCCAGTTACAATATTCTAGGACGGGTCAGTTACAATATTCAAGGACGGGTCAGTCATATAATTGTAGGACGGACGATTTATAATATTCTAGGAAGGGCCCGTTAGACAATTGTAAGACAATCCAGTTACTCTAGCGTGTCGGGCCAGTTATTCCACTGTAGGACACACCCATTACACAATTGTAGGACTGACCAGTTAATCTTGGGTGTCGGACCATTTATACTATAATAGGACGGGCCATTTATACTAATCTAGGACGGACCAGTTACGCAATTGTAGGACGCGCCAGTTACAATATTCTAGGAGGGACCAATAATACAATTGTAGGACCGACCAGCCACATTATTCGAGGTCGGGCCAGTTTTATAATTGTAGGACGACTCAGTTACTATGGCCACATGAGCCAGTTATACAATTGTAGAGCGGGTGAGCTACACTATTTTATGATGGGCCAATTTTCAAATTGTAGGACAGGTCAGTTGCTCTCACATGGCGGGCCACTGACACTATTGCAGGACGAATGAGTTACGCTTACAAGCCGCGCGAGTTACAGAATTGCAGGATGGACCAGGAACTCACACAACAGAAGCCAGTTTCAGTAATGTAGGACGGGCCCTTTGCTCGCACAGAGCGAGCCAGGTACACAATTGTAGGATGGGTCGGTAACGCTATTATAGGACGGGTCATTTACGATATCATAGGATGGGCCATTTACACTATTCTAGGACGGGTCAGTTACTCTCACAGGACGGGCCATTACCACTATTCTAAGATCAACTAGTAATCCACGCGGGACCAGTCAGCTATAATGTTCTAGGTCGGGCCAATAACACTCACGGGACTGGTTAGTTATATAATTGTAGGGCAGGCCAGTTACACTATGTAGAATGGGTCAGTTAGACTATTGTAGAACGGGTCAGTTACGCTCACAGGCTGGGCCACTTACACATTTGTAGGACAGACTGGTTACCCTATTGTAGGATGGGCCAGTTACTCTCACAAGACGAGCCAGTTAAACTATAACACAATGGACCTGATACTGTCGCAAAATGGACCAGTTACACTTCTGTAGGGCGGCCAGTAAATCTCGCACATCGGGCCAGTAACTCTCGCTGGACGAGCCATTTGTAAACTTGTAGGGTGGCCCACTTACACTATTGTAAGACTGAACAGTTACAGTATTGTAGGGCGGTCAGTTACTGTCGTAGGACGGACTAACTGCACTATTTTAGGAAGGGGCTGTTACTCTCAAAGGACGGGTTAGTTATGCTCGCAGGTCTGGTCACTTACTCTTGCGAGATGGACCATTTTGACAATCATAGGACGGGCCAGTTACACTATTGTAGAATGGGCTAGTTACTCTTGTAGTACGGGCCAGTTAGTCTCACAAGACGGGCCAGTTGTTCAATTCTAGGACGGGCCAATTTTATTCTTGTACAACGGGCCAGTAGCACCGATGTAGGATGGACATGCTAGTCTCGTAGCACTGAGGGCGTCTATTTTTTTGATGATTTCTTTCTTGATATCGTATGGGGCGAGATAGCGAGAGTCTTTAGTTATCAACTGTTTCTTTGAAATTCGCGTCACTATGCATACGGCTAGCATCTACTTCACATGTGTCGTCCATCTCTATGTTGCCATGCGATAATAAGTTATACTGAAGCATTATGGAGCGAATTAAATTATTTATTAACTATCTCACTCTCTCGATATATATATATATTTCTTTCTCCAATATACCTGCATTCTTATCCAACAATACAATTGTTAACTGTATTTTAACATTTTCACTTATTATTGAGGATCCGTAACACGTATGTTCAGGTTTTAGTTTAGGGTTTTTTTGCTAGAATTTTGCCACGAAATTTCGACAAAAAATTTCTGTTTTCTTGAGTTCCGTTTGAATAGCTTTTGTGTCGTCAAAGATTACTGCGAAGAAAGTTAAAAAAGAGAATCAATAATTTGTAATAACCTAGATTTTTATGTTCATCTTTTATTCTTTGCACCGGGTGATATCGATGACTAAGTGGATGAGTTATGAAGAGTGTATTATCTCTGAAATAAGGCGCCTTTTGCTCATTGAAAGAACTTTCGATTTGTTTCAGTGCTACGCGATTACATCTCTTCTATCATGTTTTGCATTGGGGATTAAAGATTAAGTTCAAAACAATAAGGTTATATTATGATGATGATAATCTTTTAAAATAAGAGGCATATGCATGTGGTCCCTTTGACTTTTCGAAGCTTCTCTTCTACTCTACAGAGCAGCATCGAAAAACTATTGAAGTAAAGTTTCTTTGAGATTTCAAAATGATATGTACATCTTTTTACGTGTACTCAAGTATAAGACATATTTGTATGTATATACCCGTGTGTTTCCCAGTATTTTTGCACTACTTTGTATTTGTTGAAGGATTCGTGGTAATGTGGTTACAAAGATGTCAGATTCTATAAAATAGAGGTAGGACATAAGGGGCACATATGATAACATAATAGGGATATGAAAGGATAAAGCCAAAAAAGGATATGGATCGGAGGGGATATGATGACACAGAGATAGGGCTACATGAGGATAAGAACAAAATGGGATACAAATTTAATCACACAACTTATAAGACTAATTTGAATAGGATATCCTGAAATATGTGTACCGGAAAAAAGGAAACATAGCAAAATACTTTAAAGCCTCGCATAACATGGGAATATGTCAATAATCGATACATAACCAAAGTATTACATTCAAAGAGGGAAGCCCTAAATATTCTGAAGCGATAAACTATATCTGTAACCAATGCGAACACTCCCCTCGTTCAATCTAAAAACAAGAGTATAAACATGGAGTTATGTTTACAAAAATCCTCAAATTCTAGGATTTTGTTCTAAAAATTCTTGAATTATGGACTGCGATGTCTTCTACTTCATCTTAACCATCCTTTCCTCTTGAAAATTTAATTGATTTGGAATAGATGTGATCCTAGTTCAAAAAGGTGTGTGGCTTTTCATAGAGAGTCTTCGATTTTATGGAAAACTATTCTATAACTACCCCGCTTTTGAACTATGATCGATAGGCAGTCAAATATAGCTTTTAAACTTACTTCACGAGTCCCTTCAGTAAGGATGAAACCCGCCGTAAGTCTTTCGTTTTTGTATTTAAATCAAAAAGTTTAAGCTTCTGTACATACCCTCATCCACAAATAAAAGTCATATAATGTGTCACTGCAACTAAAATGAAACTGGCTCTGATACATACCTCTACATAATATTCACAAAAGATATCCGTTAATATAACAGCACGTTTCAAAAACTGTTCAAGAACTATATCGTTGAATTCAATTGATTTCACAAAGACTGTTCATGAAAGACGTCCCTTAACTTGACAGGCATTTCATACGCTATTTATAAAAGACGTCCGTAAGCTCAACATAATATAAACAAAACATATACATAATCTAATGATATTTCCTTCTTTTTTCGTCTACGTGACTTGTCTACGACTGATAAGAATCGTATAGTTTATATTAGACAATCGCTACATACAAGCACGTAGACATGACGATTGTTTATTCGTACATGATGATAAGACAATGCAACGAAAAGCTATAAATGATGGAATTTCGTTATGATATTGCGAATGTATACAACTGATAACAAAAGAAAAAGAATGGAATGGATGATTCGTTCTTTTTCTTCTTTGTATACACATATATATATACATCTCACATTCACTTCTACCATTTATTTCAACTGCGACGGCGAATCGAGTAAGTACCATATTCATATATTTTTTTCACATATTGTTTCGCAAGGTATGTTCATGCTACTTAATACCTTAGTACTCTGATTACTTTTGCGTCTTTACTTCAACATTAATTTTATTGATATTAGTTATAATGATAACTAGATAAAACTGTTACAAAAGGACGGGGGCGCATAAGAGGTCAAATCCGCCCATCAGGAATTGTTCGGGATAACCCTATTGAATCATACATCATTTGAAAGAGCAAGTTAAAGTAAACATTTTGATACTATTTTTATGGGGTTTCGATCGAATTTTTGAAGCGATAAGCTATTTACAAAGTTACTCGTTTTTGGGCACTAATCCAATAATCGATCATATCGAGGGTCGACCCAGTTTTAGTATAAGTTGATATGGAAAAATGGTTGTGAAATTAAGTATTTGATAGCTTCTTGATGGGGCTTTAGTCCTATATAAGAATTAATAGTTCCTTGTTCGATTCAGTCAGAACAAGATCTGGTATATTATTAGACACTGTTGACATATGGCCTATATTTATCAGTAATTTTTATCTTTCAACAAATATTTCATCGAATAAATTAAAGGTACCAAAATTCTGGCAGTGTTCATTCGATAGCGCTTTTCAAAAGCTACAAAATCGTATATTTTATAAAGTCTTAAAAACTTGGCCCCTAGGAAAATTTCCAACCAAAACATGCTAGGGGTATGATTTATGGCCATTTTTCACTAATAATGTACCTATGTTTTCTGAAAAAGTTCTAGCATGAGTTCAAAATAATATCAGATTCGGATTCAGGATTGAAAACTGAGTGGACTTATATATACCCGAAATCCCTCTGACGACCTTCATTTTTCTCGAAAAAGTCACCCGTACCCCCCTTCAGGGAAAAATTGTTCAAAAGTACCTTGGGGGGGGGGGTACGGGTGAATTTTTCGAGAAAATTGAAAGTCGTCAGAGGGATTTCGGGTATATATGAGTCCACTCAGTTTTCAATGCTGAATCCGAATCTGATATTATTTTGATCTTATGCTAGAACTTTTTCAAAAAACATAGGTACATTATTAGTGAAAAATGGCCATAAATCATACCCCTACCATGTTTTGGTTGGAAATTTTCCTAGGGGCCAAGTTTTTAAGACTTTATAAAATATACGATTTTGTAGCTTTTGAAAAGCGCTATCGAATGAACACTGCCAGAATTTTGNTGTGATTTCTAAAGATATTATATCAGTCTGAGAGTAGAGTCAGTGGTCACCGGATAGAGTCGCATAGAGTCTGTTCCATGGTAAGTTAGCACGCCTGTATTTTCTCCTTGCAATTTAGGTATAAAAAACACAGTGAATATACCGTTTTCACTTTTTGAAGTACACATAACACTCGGATTTAAATCCGAGGTTTTCGCATTTATTTTTTTTTCGTTTAGTATGCATGCATCAGGTGAACGATTAGGTCAATTGACAGGAATTGCTGCTATTCTACGATTTCCTATGCCTGATCTTGATTTAACTGATGAACATCATCATCATCATCATCATCATGAAATACAAAATGAACAATATAATTTAAATAATGGTGATCTACAATTGAATCCAAATCGAACCGATAATTATTTAGATGATACTAATGATGATCAATCAACGAATAACGATAGAACATTAAAAGAAACTCGAGCTGAAGCATCAGCTTGGTAAGAATTATTGATGATAATATTGTTCATCTGTATCATTAGGAAAATCTTCTTTTTCTCTTTTGTTTCTTTTATTTATTTGCGGGTGTTAACTTTCCTCATTTTTCTTTATATATGTGTGTATTTTCACACGATCTGCGCATTAAAAGAAACTAAGATTTCTTGAGATATTTATTATTACTATTTTGTTCTTTTCTCCACACTTTATTTTTTTTTTCTCTTTTGTGTTCCTTATGTATGTTTATTCTGGGTTATGTTGTCGTTGCATCAAAGATATAAAGAAAATCAAGATTACCTACATTGATGCTAAACATTTTATATATCCTTAACACAGTTGTAGTACGAAAAATTATTGTTTTGGAATGCACGATAAAATTTCAATTAAATCTTATTTTGTAATTTTTATTGCAATATCGATCTATTGAATATTTGTTTCAATGTACTTTCATAAAAATTTTCGGAGTATCACCTTCAAAAAATTCTTCAATTTGTTTAAATGACAAAAAAAAAATCTTGCGTTAATTCATCATCATTTAGGTTCAATACAGTTTTATATCCGGACAAAGGTCATCAATCTTCTAGCATGTATGAATTAATGTATTTTTGTGAAACTCTAAGTTTTCCGGCTTCTCCGACCTTATAAACTTAAGCAATTTGAATCAAAGGTCGTTGGGTACGATTCTTTCCTGACAACAAGCATCAAACTCTTTTCCGATAGCTGCTTAACGACGAAAAAAAAAACGCGGAAAGGCATTAACTAAAATAGTTATATTGCAAATAACGAGCGAATAGCAACAGGACAAAAAAAAGGAGAAACGCACCAGTAAGAAAAAAAATGAGTTCATTTCTGTGGCAATCCCTTATCTATGAAAAACAAATATAGTCTGTTAGAAAATGTTCACATTATATATTTTGAGGGTGTGGGCGTGACTAGAGGAGATGTATTTCTTACTTTTAAAAAATTTCCTTGCATTTCCCTTTGCTACATTTTTCTCTGCGTCATACTCCTGCGATTTCCACCCGAAAGCAACTTCATCGATAAACTTTTTGATATGATTATACATTAGACGATAGTCAATAATCGAAATACTATTAAAAGATTTGGTTTTTCATAATTTAGTTGAGAGTGTTTAGTGAAGTTCATCGTCATGGTAACCAAAACAAAAGTTATTGAGCATTTGACATATAGCGACATCTATGAGGAAAAAAAAAACAAATTATTGCAATGTTTACTCTAAACTATAGTAAAGTAATTAATAGGATGATGAAATGTAAGTTTATTTTTGAATATCTAATATGATTTTAAAATGCTATCTATGATAAAAATTTGTGATTGGTTTTTAAAAACGGTTTTCTAGGCCACGTACTCCTACCAATACATTTTTCTGATTGTGTTTACAAATTTTCGTATTGCATTGACTTAAACATCTGATACTTTTCAATGATATTTTTTTAGATAAGCGCGCCATTATCGTAAACAAACTAGAACTAGAATAATTATATTTAACATGAATATCTTTCGTCTATTAGGGGATTTTTCCCATTTAGGAGCTATTATTATATTATTACTTAAAATTTGGAAAACACGTTCATGTGCTGGTAAGAATCGTAATATGTTTTTTTCCTTGAATTGTGATTTTTCTTTTTGTCGTTTTTTTTTTTTCAATAAGGTTTATCTGGCAAGAGTGTTTTGCTCTATGCTATAGTATTCACATGTCGGTATCTTGATTTATTTACTCATTTTATTAGTTTATATAATTCAGTTATGAAGACAATTTATTTTATTTCAACTTTTTTTACACTCTATTTAATTTATCGTAAATTTAAAGCAACATTTGATCGTAATCATGATACATTTCGTATTGAATTTTTACTTTTACCTTCAGCTGTACTTGCTTTATTATGGAATCATGAATTTTCGGTGCTTGAAGTAAGTTTTTTCAAAAAAAAGAATAATTCTTATTGTAATTCATAATTTAGGTTCTTTGGGCATTTTCAATTTATCTTGAATCTGTTGCTATACTTCCTCAATTATTTATGGTTAGTAAAACAGGTGAAGCTGAAACGATAACAAGTCATTATTTATTTGCATTGGGTATCTATCGATTTTTCTATATACTTAATTGGATTTATCGTTATTATACGGAAAATTTTATTGATTGGATTTCAATTGTATCTGGTGTTGTTCAAACAGTTCTTTATTGTGACTTCTTCTATCTTTACATAACTAAAGGTAAGAAAAATGTCTTTTCTTTTTTTGTTTTGTTTTATATTTCTAAATTTATTTTTTGTTTGTTTTTAGTTTTGAAAGGAAAAAAGTTGTCGTTACCTGCGTAAAATCTCGACTGAATATGACAATTTAATTTTCGTTGAACTTTATTTCTTCTTATTATATTCCATTGGTTATTTGCTTTGTTCTTTCTTCTTTTGTTTACCAAAAATATTGTTATAACGTATCATTAAAAGAAAACTTAGCCAGGCACATTGGTTTTGTTATCCTATGATCAAATTTCTTGATGTTTTTCTATTTCTATGCTAAAAATTAACAACATTTACATTTCAGTTCTTGTTTTATTTCTTTCTTTTTTTTCTTTTTTGTGCATGTTTGCTTCTCTTTATTTTGTTGTATGTTTCACTTAGAAATGAATAAAAACAAACAAAGAAAAGAAAAATTTTCTCTAGATGAAGTAGAAATTTTCCTCTCAATACGTACATGTCAATGTCTTCTTGTCTTGTTGTGTATGGTCTATATAACATGTTTCTTGTTTCTTTTTATTTTTTGGGTTGTTTGGGTTATATCTTTTTATTCAAATATAGCATCTGTTCTTTCTTTTTTTCTTCTTATCATTATTATTACTATTATTATTATTATATTCATTAAAGAAAAGAAAATCGAGAATTATTGATTATATTCTATTTTGTTTTGTTTTACAGATGGCTGCATTAGAAAATAAATCAAAGAAAAATCGTACAGGTTATTTGACATCACCAACAAATGTGAGTGCTGCTAATCATCTTTCGTATTTATTTCAAGTGAGCTGAGAAAATAAGATAAAAATTATCGATGAAAAGATCTTTTGTTTTCTATAAGACAGCACATACAGTTTTATTAACAACTGCTGATTTTAATTTGGTACGACATCTTATTAAACAAATACGTGTACATGCTCAAAAGAAACAGATTCGTTTGTAAGATGTGTTAATATAAAATTTCTATTCAATATACTTTTTTCTTCTAATGATTGATTAGACATCCTGAGATGAAACGATTACTTTGTTCATGCTGTAATATGATTCTATTGCCACCATTGACGGCAAAAGTTCGTTTCAGTAAGTTTAATCTTCAATAATTATGAAAAAATTCATTTGAATATAATTATTTCTTTTTTTTAAGATAAACGCAAAACAGGTATTATTGTATCGTGTTCGACATGTAGTCGTTCTCGTTACTATCCTAAACATAATTCTTGGCCAACAGAACATGGTGCTCATATACCAAGCGATTGGCTTTTTAATACTTTTTCTTCATTAGAAAAAAAATAACTAATTCTTGTTTATATATTCTAGATGGGTAAATTTGATTCTCAATTACGTTTTCTTAAATATAAACCGCCAAAATCTGGACCTCGGTAAAAAGAAATCAATGAAATAGATGAAAACAAAAAACAAACAAACTACGTAATTCTTTTATTTTAGTGTTATTATCGCACCTAACTATCGTCTTAATCAATTTCAATTTCGTCAAGCATTACCTGCTCGATTACGTGATTATGTTCGAGGTGGCGGAACGAGTGCATCAGGTATATTGTGAAATACTATTTAAAAGGAAGGCTGAAGCACACAAGTAAAAGCTTAGAGACCATCACAGACATTGTTGATATACGATCAAAGATCATATATCAATATCGTCTCGTTATAATATATATGAACTTCTTCTTTATTATATTTCTGGAGGATTAAGTAAACAAACATATCACTAGCTTATTCTTTGATTTTTTGAAAAAGTGTTTTATCTGTTAGGTCATGAACACTAGAGTCGTGAAATCTTCTTAGAAATCTATAGTTGCTCTAATCATCATACATTATTTTTCGTCGTTTTACATAGGAGTAATATAAGTCATAAAGCACGGATCATAAAGATCAACTACTATTGGAAAACCGAAGGCAATGAGTCTTCTGTTGGTCTAACTGCTCGACATTTCCCTTCGCTCGCTTCTCAAACATCGCAATCAAAATAGTCTCAAAGAAAATATGTTGTCTGCACATCTCATAGTTTTCGACATGATACAAAACATATGTCTTGAAGACTATCATACGAAAATGAACTACTAATATTTTCTTGACATAAAAATACAATGTTTTTCAGAAAATAAAGAAACACTATATTGAAAGCTTTTTTTTTATATATTTTTTAGAATATACATGTGGTCCTTTAATGAATATTGTAAGTCAAATGTTTAATCAAACTAGTCGATCAATTAATTATTTAGATGTTAACTTGTTTACAAAAACATGAATATGATAATTTTGCATGTGAAAAAGAAGTAGCTGACTTTTATGCATGTGTAAATGAATTTCAGGTATTCTATAAATTGAATAATTTTATTTTAATAAATTTATTTATATATAATAGGAGACAAATACTGTTGAAAAAGCAAATCTCAAAGGTGGTGGTGATGATGATAAAGTAGTAAAACAATTTGCACGAAATCGTCAACCAGCTTGGCTTTCAAATAAACTTTTAAAATCATATCCTACATCATCGTCTGTTGAATAAAATAGTTTTTATACTTTTGTTGTATTTGTTAGCATATTATGATACAAAGTTTATTTAATATAAATGCTTTGCATCTACACTTTTCAAGGTTAGAAAAATGATATTACTGAACAAAATGAAGCTTAATTAGATAAAATATTCAAACAAGAATATCCCTAGAGAGAAAGTCGATTGAAAGATTTTTGTACTAAACTTAATGAAATTATGTCGAGTGTTGAGCATTTTTTCTTTTTTGGGAATAGATGAGAAAAAAACAAAGAATACTGAAACTTCACTAGAGAAAAAAAGAAAATTTGTCAAGAAGATTGAATCTTTCGCTTGGGACACATCTGAATTCAAGAAATTCTTTCAAGAGATAAAAATTATTCTTTGAAGTATTTCTAATTATTAACGATAGTTTTTTTTTTTTTGAGGATCTATTCTTAAAAGAATAAAGATTGTGTATTATTGTCCACATAATTTATATTCTTCAATTTATTCTAATAAAAGCAATTTTTACTCTCTTTTGCCATGCATATGAAGTGAACTATTCTCATGAATAACATCTGTATGAGACAATTTTGAAATAGATTGAAACAAGAATGTATTCTTATTAAAAATTATATTTTGTCTATTGAATCAATCATAAAAGATACAACTACAATGATGACAGTTCAATATAATAAATATTATATTTGATTCACGATAAAAAAAAAAGAAACCTATACAGTTGTGGAATATAATTATACAAAGTTTCATATGATAAAAAGAAAACTGTAGAGTTCGTAAGTATATTCAATTTGAAATCTATGCAATCTTTGAAAGTTTTAATTAAGAAAAACAATCAATGAAGAACTTTTAATTCTTGTATTACTGATATTCATCATTTCTTAGACGTTTTCAACTTAAGAATTCATCTCTAATTAACATTAAGTATAACGTCTGCATTATATTGCTTGCTCATACTAAAAAGACATTATCGTCTGGTTCATTTCTTTATTAAATTGGATATGACAATAGTATATATGAAACTAAAATAATCACTGAACAAATGAAGAAAAAAACAGTGCTTATCATGATTAGAATATTTTCTTAGTACAAGGATTAACGTTATGTATATTTGTGTATTAGTTCTTCTCAATATTTATTAGTTTTTGAACATAATATAGTTGATAAGTGTAATGCAATGTATTATAAAAATAATATATTTTTAAGTTTATGTGTTTCGTTTTGTGATAGAATTAGAACTGTCTTTCTTTTAGAATATAATATATTTTAAAAAATCGATATATTGATATAGAAAAAGTCATTGTTACATGAATCATAGTTTGATAAAATGAAAATGAATGTTTTGCTTACTTAATTAAAAAAATATGTAAGTATGTGTTGTCTTATGCAACTAGAAATTTATTTTGTTATTTTACGCCTAGTAGAAAATAGATTCCATCTGAATTTCATTTTGTTTAAGACATATTATGTATATATACACCTGTATGAGTGTAACAATAGTCAATGTTTGTTTCATCAAAGAATTTTTTGCGTTCTTATTAAGCATAAAAACATGGTTGGCCCTTTCTTTAGTACTTTTAATAAATGCGCAAGCATCACGACATATATATATACTTATGACAATCTCTCTTTTTAAACTGTTGAAAAAGTGTAAGAAAAGACAAAATGCATACCTCTATGCTGAATCCTTTTCTTCTTTTCTGTTTAAATGTTTGAGTTGTTTATTGTTGTCATTTTGTTTCACTGCCGAAACTATTCTATTATCACAACTTATATTATAACGTTCTCATTTCGATTTACTCTTGAAGATATTTTTTTTTTCATATAGACAAGTAGTGCATGAAGAACAAAGGTGTACTTTAATATCAGGTTGTTTTTTCTTTTGATCTATTGTTCGTAGTTTTATAACAAATAAGACATAGATGAAAGAATGTTTATCCTACTGTATTTAACATGTATAAAGTCTAGATGAGACTGTATGTGCAAATTGCCCTTCTTTTTTTTTTTTTCGCGGTGTTATTGTAAAGTGTCAAGGACTGAGTCCGTGGATGCTTAAGACATTGTCAAGTGAAGGATGAATCATCGAATGAATTTTTTTCTTCTTCTTAGGAATGATAAGCTCGAGATAATCAGGGAATAGAAACTAGACTGAAGAGCACAAAAAAAAAAAGATGATGAAAAGGCAGAAGAAAAAGAAAAAAAAAAGAAGAAGAGACGATGTAGAGAGTTTTCTCCGTTCGACAAATACTCATTCATTTCTTGACTTGACGGACTTGAAAATTCTTTCTCGATGTGTCGTTCTCAACAATCCGATACTCGTTGTCTTTTTTTATTGTTTTGTCGTCTGTAAACGAGACATAAATAATGTTGACAGTCGCAAGTTTATGGCTTCTTAGTCAAATAAAACTTTTATTTATCGATACCGTTGTTATTCGTTGGACATAAGAAACCTATTCAATAAAAGATGATATTACTCGTGCATCAGTTTCTTTCGTCAATCACTTCGAAAAGATGAAAGAAAATTATCAATATTACTTAGTAACAAACGATGCATCCAGAAGATTAGTCCTAAAGGAATATATTATCGTTTTATATGATATGGTTTCTTCTAGCTTGTCACTATTTTATTCGTATTTGATAGAATAATAATAGATAGTAGATTAAGTTTTGTAGTTAATTAAATCTATGTAACAAAATTTAAGTATGACATATACAGAGTTCATCATTTTGTTTTTTGATTTTTAATGAAGTTTTTTTGAAGTAAATAAATATAAATAGTAGGATTTAGAAAAGTAGCAACTACTTACTTAGTCATCGAATTACTTTTGTCATTCTGTTATTATAGATACTATAAATACGAATGAAAAATTCATAGATTTATTTTTCATATCAAATGAATATCGATTTAAACTTTTTCTAATCGTAGTGACTTTCAAGTACATCATTATAGGTCATTATACATGACTTTTTTTTACATATATTATTGTGTACTCTGGTAGTTCGAACATGTAATTATTATCGTATTGTTTTCGTGCTCTTTCTTCTTTTATGCATATGTATGTGAAAATGATTTTGTTTCATCATATAGAGCATAGTTGATCTCAGACAGGTGTTAATGACTAACTATAGATCTTTGTTAGAATGAGTACGTCAATGAGTTATATTTTTCTTAACCCTACATAAGTGAATAATATATGGCTGATTTCGACCGAAAGTTACCTAGAAAAAAGTATAATCTTCGAAGAATAAATTAGATGCTCAGATTCTGTGATAGGAAGTTCACTAACACAAGTGCGTTTATCATTAACATGGCTAATAAAGAAATAATCGCGTGACCAAAAGAGCGATTCATTTGTTTTCGTGATCTATTTTATATTGACTTATCTTTCTAAAATACATGTCATCATTATCTAAAATATAACAAATTAATAGCTACTAAAAGATGAATGTCAGACATCGAAGTCTAGACTAAATCTATTTTTTTTTTGAAATCGTAGATTTACAATTGTAACAATAAGTGAATGCAGACATATATTTTTTTTTTTTTCTATTTATATAGAATTCATTTTTCTCACGTTTCAATCGATTTAAGTGAAATCTAATGATTGAAAATTGTCATCATTTATTACATTTTAGTTTTGCCATCAAGTAAGTGTGTTAATTTTCTTTTATTCTTCTTCATATACAGTGTTGATATTAGAACTATGAAACAGAAGTGTCCTTTCGTTCTGTTAATTCTACTACATATTTCAATTTTCTTCTAGACTCTATTGTCTGATTGAATTCTATTATATTCAGAGTTTCTTTTTCTTTTTTGACACTCTCAATTGAATTTATTGTTCTGTTATGTTTAGAATAAATAACAAAAAAAAGTGAATAAATAATGCATATCAATCGATAATCAACAATGAAACACCCGTCTAGTAGTATTGGGCAACAGCCAACTTTATGGCTTTTGTTCGTTTTACGTTTACGAAAATGTTTTAAACTTCGATATTTATTAACTATATTTATTATTTTTATTATTTTAACATATTTACATCTTACAAATTATACTCCTTCTGATCAATCAATAGTTCATGAATCTGAAATAATTATAGAAGAAGAAATACTGATTATCAATTATACTCTTTCAAATCAATGTAATTCAAATGAAATTGAATACTTACTTCATTCTACTTCATCATATAATAAAAATAATGATAGTCGGTCACAACCAACAATTGAACGATTACATAAACTTTTTCAAATCCTTATTTCACATGAAAATACATATAGGAAAGTATTTGATTATTTAGGTATATTTCGTTTTAATGATTTTCATAATACATTACATCCATTTGCTAATAATATTGAACGTTTACAAAATATTTATTGTCTTTTTCAAAAATATATTAGCATATCTGATAATGGTGATATTGTTATAAAAAAAAAATTTATTTCTTATTTGAAACAAGTTTCAAATTATTTATCTGATGGTTTTAAAAATAAACATTTAACTTGGAATGAAACTTTAAAAGATAAAATTCAAAAACCAGTTATTATTCTTGCAGCTAATTCACAATTTTATAATACTTTACAAGCATCAATGCATACAGTTAATGATTATTTAAAAGATTATACTATTGCTATTTATGATCTTGGATTTATTCCAACTCAATTAAAAATGGTAGGAAATGAAAAAGTTCAAAATAATTTTCTAACTCAATGGATAATCGAAAAGTATTGTGACAAAATTGATATTGATATTTCTCTTGTTCTTATGTCTGATTTTTTTAAACAAAATACATACAGTATGACTCCTATGAAATCACATATTCAAAGTATTGAAAACAATACTTAGAGCCAACCAAAAGCAGTGGTGGAGCTATTGTAATTGTTATTCTATTTTTGTAATTCAATTTTTGTCAGACAATCTATGATAAAACATGAAATAATAACTTTCTAATGTATCAATGACAAATTACTTGCAAATCATATTTTCGATGCATACTTCCATAGGTAGCCAACTATAATGACCAAAAGATTCTGAGAAGATTTTTTCGTCTGTAAAACTTTGAAAAAAAAATGATTCAAAATTACTTAATGATTTATGGTGCTAAGACGAAAATACTCCTGACTGTCGCTGAGTGGCTGTTGACGTCTTCGAGTATTTTGACCTCAACATCATGTTTGTTTGAGTAAATTTGAATATTTTCTTTTTCTACTAGAATTGATCAACGTAACGAGCTCCGCAAGGCTCTACAGATAAAAAAAAACCTCTAAGAACCTTATCTGTTTTTGACGCTGACTAATCGTGCAAGTATTCATCACAAATACGATTCGCAAGTACTTTGTCGTTGATAGATAGATTGGAGTTTTTCGAACATATAGTCAATTGACTTGTTCTAGTACAAATATGTTATTTCGTGCTGAAGAAATCATTAGTTGTGATTTAATTTCCCTAATACAATGAGACTAAATTTAACTAGAATGTATATACACATTTTATTGATCTCGATGTTGTTCCAATAATAAAAAAAAATCTTTCGAATAAAATCAGGTAAAACAAAGATCAGTGACCAGTTTCATTGGTTAGATATGTTAATATGCAGATTCATACCTAGAAGTAAAAGCTAATGCATTCGTCGACAGCAGCTTCAATTTTTCGAAGAGTTTATAAAAACTTTCCTTAAATAACTGGCATCCCATTCCGCCTCTTTTTCCTTCTCTTCTTTTAAAATTCCTCTTTTTACCCTCTTTTTCCTCTTTTCTCACGAAAAAGTAGCTTGTTGGCGAAAACATTCATGAATATATTGATTAATATTACCATATCATACGAAAAGATCACATAATACAAACTGATGTGCCGATCAGTCGAGATGTATAGCTAAGGAGGTTAAATTATATGATTTTAGTGATCAACTTCAGCGATGTTATATATTCCTAATTGGAACCCAATTTTTATAGCTCTCTAGTGGAGTTAAAATCAGTCAATTATATTTCCAATGTGAACTCATCATTCTCTCACAATCTTGGCAAGTTTTTCTGGTAAAGATCGACATGTAAAATGATAATATTGGCTTACTTTTCTTGACCATTTTTCTCAGCCCCAGGAAAGCTTGTGATATGAATCTAACAATGGATAGCTAACTCGTAGCGTAACGCATGCGTCAGAATAAGAAGAAGTTTCCACAGTGGCTAGATCTATCCTAGAATCCTGTCAGATTCGATAGGATTTCTTCGACAAGATAGCTTCTGATAGTATGAAGTCATAAGTTGAAGATTTCTGCTTATCAGATACCGATAAAAGTTTTCATGTTGCATCTGGCGATATCTGATCCTTCAAAATTATTGGGTTGATTACAGATGCCGTGGCATGTTGCTAGATTACCTTACGCTATTGATTTACTGTCAAAATGAA